AACCAGTCCTGTGTACTGCACCAGTGAGGACAGCCAGGCATTTCAGGGCATAAGGTCCATGGGGACAACCCACTGAAGTTCAGGCAAGGCTGAAGCAAGTAGCAACCTGGGGCCAGCCACTGCCATGGACTGAGGACTGAGGCATCTAAAGCAGCAGGAGGCACTGGGTAGTGGTTCGCTCTTGATAGTGACTAAAAGTCCACAAAGCAGGAATCTGGCTGAGGGGTGAGAGAAAAACAAATCTCAAGCCTAAGGGAAGACTGGGGTAACAGGCAGGACTACCAAGAAGACTACCCAAGAGAGAATCATGGTAGAGCCATAGCCCTACAGCCAGGTCAGGGTGAACAAGGCTTCCACAGGGAGCCCCATGGCCCAAGGGCCACTCACCATGACTTAAGTCCCATCAGATAGTGAGGCCAGGGCTATGGATAAACCTCCTTTCCAGAGCCAGATTAGCTCAGGCACTGGAGTGAGCTGTCAGCACAGACAGGGCCCATAGGGAGGGGAAGTCAGGGCGCCAGCCACAGGCTGCCTTTACCCACACACAGCACTGTCCTCATCTCCTAAAATGACCCAACAGGGGCCCAGAGAGGATTTCCAGCTGATCTAATGTCTAGTATGTGACCTTGGCCAGAGGGACACACTGTGAAGTGTTCCTTTCTCTGTGCCAAGGTGGATTAAGTCATTTTATCATCAGAATTCCTCTTTTAAAAGGTAAGAGTCTTTGTGGGGTAAGGAAAATACAAACCGATTATGCATTTACATTGCAGACTTTTAGACTTTGTTTTTAAAATAGAGATTGGGAGACCTAGGCAAATTCTCGGATAATCAAAGGAGTTATGGTGGCTTTTGTTGTTGTTGTTTTATTTTTTATGTAAGAATTTGCTGAGGAGTAGGAGTTAGCAATGGAGAGAATAAGGTACAACTCAGTCTCTAAAAAAAATTATATTAAGCATACATACAAAAAGCAACTAACTAGGATCACCCAAACAAGTCCCAAAATTTATAAATGAAACACAAAAATTAAACTCATAAAGAAGGGGAAAACCAAGAATCTGACAAACAAAAAGAGAAAACTTTAATAAGAGTGAAATCAGTTCATTTCTGAGGAAGGCTCAACCTTTTAGCTAAAGAGACCTCTCCCATTTCTTCTCAAGGCTTCCCAAAAGCAGGATACCAAATCGATATGATTAATAACCACAACCAAAATGAGCAAAAAGAAAGAAAAGACTACTGTATATAGACCTACACATGCATCAGAATCTCCTTGTCTCAAACCCAAGATGCCTGTACAAAAATGTAAGTGGGTTACTGCAAAGCTTAATAAAACTATTCTAGTACAATGTTTTTTTCCAAGGACTTTAAGTTAGAATTGCAATTCAACTCTGATGCTAGTCGATAGCTTTACACTGCACCCCAGGAAAAAAAAAAAAAAAAAAAAAAAAAAAAAACTCCCCACAAGTTTCCAATTGACTAAATCCCAATTTAATTTTAGAATTGCATTTCCATGAAATTAAATACTTCAAAATATTTTTAGGTCTTAAATAAGAGGCTATTGACAGCAAGTCCTTTAAAGTATATCGTTTCTGCCATCTCCCCTCTCACACACATTCATATAAATCGTTTATAGCATACACATCTTCCTTTTCTAAGTTTATACACACTAGAACCTGTGGTAGAACAGATTTTCAGGAACATGAATTTTAAAAGTGATTCTTATGAACTAGAAAACTACAAGGGAAGAAGAAAATGAATGACAAACCCCCAATTCAGGGCTTATTAGCCAGTGTTGGGAAGGAAAGGGTTCTAAAAACCAGTGCAGTAACACTTCTTTTTCTTTTTTTGGTCTTTTTGAGACAGGGTCTCCCTGTAGCCCCAAGTGGCCTGGAACTCTCTATGCAGACCAGGCTGGCCTTGAACTCACAGAGATTCACCTGCCTCTGCCTCCCAAGTGCTGGAATTAAAGGCGTGTGCCATCATGCCCAGCAGTACCACTTTCCTTAAACTGAGTGATGAGACAGGTGTTCACTGCACCATAGTCAATATTCAACCAAAATGATGAATGAATTTATGTAAATGTCACTGAGAAATATAAATCAAATCTCTAAATCAGATTTTTTTCTCACTAGCAATGTTACTGAATTAAAAAATAAAATACTTGCCGGGCGTGGTAGCGTATGCCTTTAATCCCAGCACTTGGGAGGCAGAGGCAGGAGGATCTTTGTGAATTCAAGGCCAGCCTGGTCTACATAGCGAGTTCCAGGCCAGCTGGGGCTACAGGGAGACCCTGTCTCAAAAAGACAAAAAATAAATAAATTAAACACTTAACAGCATTCGGTTTTCTCCAGAGCCAATTAGCTTCCATTTGACCCATCAACAGAATGAGGATGTCCTGAAAAACCTTCCTTTTCTAAGCTTATATACACATATGCTCAATTTTTTTTCACCACATACTTCACTTTACTTCCTTTTAAAAAGCTGCTTTTCCTGGGGCTGGAGAGATGGCTCAGTGGTTAAGAACATTGACTGTTCTTGCAGAAGACCCGGGTTCAAATCCCAGCACCCACATGGCAGCTAACAACTGTCTGTAACTCCAGTTCCAGGGGATCTGACAGCCTCTTCTGTCTTCTGTGGGCATTGTACAATACAAGAGCACTTACCTACATGCAGGCATAACACTCATACACATAAAATTTAAAAAATAAAATATTTTTTAAAAATCTTTAAAAAGCTACTTTTCCCTCAGTGTCTCTAACTTTTATCATTTGCTTAGAATGCCTTAATTCTCTCTTAATGCTCTCTGAATTTGAAGACATGAAAATGGAGCCATACTTCTATGAAGATACATAATGAAACTATTACGTTACCCAAAATGATCACAAAATTAAGAATTTTAACAATGAAAGGCCTCTGGTTGGTCTGTTTTGTTGTTTCCAACTCTGTGTTACCAAAAGAACCCTCCAAATCAAACAACAAAAAGACACCAATAATTTTAAATACTCCCCAACTCTATGTTGTATGTTCTGCTTTCAATAAAATGGTAGAAATGTCTTTGACATTTTACCCCAGTTTTGATCAGATATATGGAATGTGTGATTTTCTAAGGACAATCTAAGCTGAGAATGCTAGTGGTCCTCAAAAGCCAATCATTTTCATGGTTTCAAAAAAGTCTGAAACATATGTTAACATGCAATTTGGCCAAGCTAGAAATAAAGAGATCTTTTTGTTTTTTCCACTCATTTTTACCAAGTCTCTCTAAATTAAGTGTTTATCACCTACTGGTCAGATATTCAGATATGTCATTAATGAAAAAAAGAATTAATCATGACCACTTAGTACATATGATCTCAAAATCATTCAAAATATAAGGCCCATGGAGCAAAAATAATAAGTGATTCGCTAGTAGCATTTGTTTTTTTAATCAGTTACAGTCATATTTTTTTTTTTTTTTTTATGTGTAAGAGTGTACTGCTTGCATGTATGTGAGTGCACCTGTGTCATGCAAAGCTGTGGAGGTCAGAAGAGGGCTTTGGATTCCCCTGGAACTGGAGTTAAGGACGGTTTGTAGCCGCCATGTGGGTGCTGGGAATCGAACCTGGGTCCTCTGCAACAGCAGTCAGTGCTCTTAACTGCTGAGCCATCTCTCCAACCCCTACAGTCATATTTTTAAAACAGTAACAAAAAGTTCTCAAGACCCCTGACTTGGTCCTATCAAAAACTCAGAAAATTCTGATTTGTTAAATCTGCTAATTCAGTCTATTTTCAATTATCTTTTTTTGGGGGGGGGGGTGGTCTTTTTGAGACAGGGTCTCCTTGTAGTCCCCGCTGGCCTGGAACTCACTATGTAGACCAGGCTGGCCTTGAACTCACAGAGATCCACTTGCCTCTGCTTCTTGAGTGCTAGGACTAAAGGAATGCACCATCAGGCCCGGCTATCTTCATTTTAAAAAAAAAATGGAGAGATGGCTCAGCAATTAAGAGCACTGGCTACTCTTCCAGAAAACCTGGGTTCAGTTCCAGCACCCACATGGTGACTAACAACTATCTGTAACTCCCAATTCCAGATCCGACAACCTCTTCTGGCCTACACTGGAGTTGCACACACATGGTACACTTACAAACATGCAGACAAAACACTCATACAAACAAAATAAAAACAGATTAAAAAAAAAAGATATATACAAAATAAAAAAGAACATTTTATTCTACTTCAGTCCTCTGCCTCCTCAATCTTTGAAAAAAGTTGACATTATGAGAGGAGTTAACCAGAAACAGTATTTGATTCCACATCTTCCTCCCACAAGCAGGCAAACAGCACCAGAACGTTCTCTTTCAAAATAGCTTCCAATTCTCCTTAAAAATCAAAAGGAGATCTCCCCCACTTCCAAAGTACTTACAAAATACCCTTACAAAATTAAATATTCCAGGTAACTGAACAAAGTTGAATTTAAAAGACAACTTTAAACCAATAGCCTTTAAAAACAAACTAAGTCAGGCTTCAAAATAATCTCTTTGGCCTCACAGACTGGCCAAGGGGACAGGTGCAGGGCAAGCCTTCCTAGAGACTGTCTCCCATGAATCTGACCTTCTCCAGCTGGCAGCTTGGCATCCCACAAATCAGTTATCAGTAGGCCAGAGCCTGCTTTCCCATCTGCACTTTCCAAATGGTTCCTGTTGCCAAGGGCTCAGATTGACCTGGCTCTCTGATGAGAACATGCCTCCCAAGTGACTTGCCAAGTTTCCCTGGAAGCCTATCTCAGTGTACTCTGAGCTCTCTCCTCTACCTCCCAGTCTCATGGTTCATTTTTCTTTCCATGCTTGCATCTCCTAATGCCACCTCCTGATCCCACCTGTCCAACACTGTGCCCTCTCAGTCCAAACTCCTTGCCCATTTTCATGAACCGTTGAACCCTGCTTCTCTTAAAATACCAACTTCTAATTCAAAGGGCACAATTGCAACAATTCTGGAGCTGGTTTCAAGTGATCTTTTTGAGGCCTACCTGCAGGGAGCTCTGTTACAGCTTCTTCTCTGGCCTTCTCCAGCTTCTCCCTTACCCAGGGAAATTCCTGTAAGGAATCTAAGAAGGTATCAAACGCTTTAGGGCCCCTGGAAGGCAGGATATCCAGCAGCATCATTGTTTTCCGGAGTTCTGTGGTTTGAGCTTTGATTTCTTGAACATGATTTTCTGTCAAAATTCCTTCCTGATAAAGGTACTGAAGAACCAGGCCCTCTACCAAAACCTCTGCACCCAGCTCTAGACGTAGTGAGCGGAGCACTTGCTTGTCTCTGGCCTCCATTTCTCCCTGAAAAGAGACAAAATCATAACTCAGATTAAAGCTAATGCACCCCTAAAGGTAGTGTCATTGCACTGTAACAAGCAGATCTTCACATCTTGAGAATGACAAGCCATGGTGTTCCTACATTAAGCCAACTTAATTTCAAATGGTTCTGAACATAATGAACAACACTGAGGAGGAATCATCTTTTCACATAATGGGGTCCTAGTTCAGGTCTTTGTTCAATTAAGATACTGGATAGATTGGGTCAGAGACCTTGCTTAAAATGCAACCACCAAGGGTTATAGAACAGCATTTAATTTTAACGTGAGGAAGAACTGTGGTTTTATTTTAATATTACTTTCATCAAGGATAGTCCAGAACCCACAGTACAGAAAATGCCAAAATGACCACTGGCATTTCTAGACCAGGACTAGCAATGGGGTGAAGAGATAAACCAGAGGTACCAAGGAGTTTAAAGATCTTTCTAACAGAGACAAGACCTCTACACCATCATCACCTTCAAGAAAACGTGTACTTGTGTGCCTCCTATTAGCCCTGTATGCACAGTCACCAGAAGGAATGCCTTGAGTCTTAATTCAGAATGGCCATGACCACACGTGCCTGGGACTTTTCACGAGCCCGGGTCTCCAGTGTGCTTCGGGGTGGCTGTGACTGTAAGGGGGAGAGGCGGGGAAGGGGGCGGGCGGGGGGGAGCTGCGGACACCCACAGAGCGGAAACACTCAATCCCACCCTTGCCTCGCAGCCCCCTGGAAAGTCCTGAGGTGGCAGGCAAGGGGGAGGGTGTCCATATGCAGCTACCTGCGTCTGTTTGGAACTTTCTACAATTCCCTGCCTCGGCAGCTGAAACCTTTGTTGAGTCACAAACAGGAAGACCTACCGGCGATTTTCACGGTCACAGCGGACCAAAGGCAAAACCGACACCCTGCACCACCACCCCAACCCTGGCCCTGCTCTGAAACCAGCACAAGTTGGGGTGAGAGAGCCACGCAGGGGCGATGTCGCCACAGCGCGGGGCTTTCGAGAGAAGATGGATTCCTGTTACTTACGTCTGCGACCACGTATCTTTAAAAAAAAAAACTACAACCGGAATCCAGACTTTGAGTGAACCTGAGTCATAAACACCATCTTTGTTGAAGGCGAAAGCCCTAGACTGGAAGTATTGTAGCCATCTTTGTTGTGGGCAACCGCAGGAAGTGCGGCAGCCATTTTTATTGAGGGCGCAGGGGCAGATTGACGCTTTCTCTGCCATGTTTGTTGTGGGTAAACAATACAATCACCCTGCGAAGGAAAATAGTAACTTAAATCATCTATGGGGTTATCTAACCAAGGGAGTAAATGGATCATTGCATCTTAACACTGTTATCTCCACCAAAGCCTTTTGCATAATAGTCAAGTCAAAAGTCACCCCAGTAGCGAAACCCTGGTTCAATTCCCAGTAACACACATACACACAATAAATTCCTTTATAAAATGAGGCAATCAATAAATTCACCGATTCATTTTTAAATTAATTAGACAAAACATACAGAAAATAATGCATCTGCCGAAAAACATTTGACAATCAGAAAATAATTTATCAACATCTCTAGTTCTGTAAGAGTGAAACCACGGAGGACAAGTCACGGCCTTTGGGTTGCAACAGCAAGAGGTTTATTCAGGACACAGGTACCTGTGGGCACAAAGTCTCCTCGGAGGACTTGCGCGCCCCAGGTTGAGTTCAGGGGGTTTTTATAAGGCAGAAGCAGGGTACAGAAGCAGAAACGCGGTTATTGGTTAATTTCAAACACACATAGTAATTTTACCAGTAATTTCAAAGGTATGCAGGGGTATGGGGTAAGGTCCGGGGCTGAGGGGAAATAGGATTGCTAAATGGGAGGTGACCTCAGAAGCACAGACGTTTTCTAAAGATTTCCTGGTATCGGGCCCCCAGGGTGGTCAGGAGTTCTGTCTTGTTTATGGCTTCATCTGTGAGGCTTGACCGACGCCTGCCTGTCCTGCAGCCTTTTGATAAGGCTGGTTCTGGTTTTTGTTAAGTTTTAACAAGTGGGCTGTGGGCCCCTGAGCACTCATGGTGCCTAGTTTCTTTTTAGTTTCTCATCAGGAAGTGGTACAAGGAAAGCCTTCATAGGGACTCACTTAAAACTGGCTCCTCAGAGTTTGGTCACACAAACAGGTTTCATAACCTTAAAGAAAGCACACTCTTTTATCAATTGTCAGTAGTTCCTCAGCCAGTGCTGGGGTTTCTTGCCCACCTCCTCCATCCATGCTGAAATTGATCTAGCTCAAAATACCAGGAAATTTGGATAGAAGTTCCTAATCTATGGCCTGGAGAGATGGCTCAGTGGTTAAGAGCACTAATTGCTCTAGCAAAGGACATGGGTTTGATGCCCAGGACCCACATGGCAGCTAACAACCATCTGTAACTCCAGTTCCAGGAGATCCGACGCCCTTTCTGATCTTCCCTGACGTTGCATGACATGGGCTCATCAAAGCTTTCCTATAATTGTGCCAGTTGACAGTGTTACTATACTCCAGTGTTTCCATACAACCATTATAATATAGCAGTGACAGTATTTTACATATGTAGTAAGTGTTCTTTATGAGTAGTGGGAGGAGGGGCAAGAATTCTTTTAGCATTTCAAGTATGTGCACACTGTGAAATCAGAAAAGTCAGTTGTCTCATCCAAAATCTCGCAGCCAGAATTGAGTGAAACCTGAATTCTAACCAGGTCCCTCTGATTCAGGCTCTTTCCAGTATACCACACAACCCTGCATAATGGAATCTGTTGTTCTAATGGCAGCCGAAAATATTACTGGCAAATCATCCTCTTCCCACTCTTGATATCCTTGAGTTTCACAGATGTTCCCTCATTCTCTTTTGCTCTAAATTGTCTTTTCCTTTCTTATATGTGAACAAGTATACAACATGTGCTGTCTTCAAATAAATAGCAGAAATGTTGCATGATTACCAATGGCTAAGGATTACTAACATTTTAGAATAGATACAGTTTTTCAAACAATAAACTTTGACAATTCTCACATACATAGAAAAATTTAAGTAAATGGCACAATAAAGACCCATATAACATTTAAGACGCTTTTTGGTGACTTGTAGTATCTGAGCAAACTTGAACATTGATGGTCCTGTTCAGGAGGAAGAGTGGAATTAATAGTAAAAGGCACCATGTTTCACTGAAGAGAAGAAAAGAGGGCAGGAAACAGCACACAAGTTGGGGCTGTTGCTGAAGGGCTTAGTGTCTTTACAGTTAATAACTGGAGAGATTGTCCATTAAGGATCTGACTTAGAGCCGGAGTCTATCACATTCCTCTTCCTGTGGCAAATGTAGGTGAGTGTCTGTGCTGCCTCCTAAACCACACTGGTTCTGACTGATTAGCCAACCATCAACTTACCTAGTGGAGGTCCATCACCTAACTTAGTACATAGTGGTACTTCTCAATAGCCCAACACAATTTCATTTATAAAAATATTCAAGGTCTGTAGGCCTCTAAGGAAGCAAATATCAGAATGACCATCACAGGTGGTTCCTCCCCCTCTCTGGCCAGTCCTCCTCTGTAGGCTGGAATTTTGCCCCCAAAGAGATTAAACACCTGTTACCCAGTGCTAACAAATTTATTTTCAGAAAGGAAAGTTACTTCCTTTTTCTTTCTTTTCTTTTTTATATTTAGTTATGTCAAGATATAACCATTGTGGATTTAAAGAAAGGAGCAAGAGAGTCATATTTTTATGTCTTTCAATTACATCTTCTGCAATCATTTTGATTTTTCCTGTTTCATAGATGTGAAAATAAAGCCATGAAGAAAAACAGATTCTTTTCAATTACACATGAAATATTCACAAAAACAGATCTTGAATTGGGTCACAAAAAAACTTTAACAAATTCCAAAATGTCAGTAGCATTCAAACCATATTCACACAATAAAATGCAAAATTTTAAGAGGATAATTGCCCACGAGTTTGAAAACTAAATAACTCGTTTTAAAAATATTTTATTTATTATTTTTATTTTATGTGTATGCGTGTATTCCCTGCATGTAGAGAAGTGCACCCATGTCATGCAATGCCCGTGGAGGACAGAAGAGGCTGCCAGATCCCCTGGAACTGGAGTTACAGACAGTTGTTAGCTGCCATATGGGTGCTGGGATTCGAACCTGGGTCTTCTGCAAGAACAAACAGTGTTGTTAACTGCTGAGCCATCTCTCCAGCCCCTGAAAACTAAATAACCCTTAAATCTTTTATTTTATTTTACTTTATTTTATTCAGTATTGGGGATTTAACCTAGGGCCTCACACACACTAGGAAAATACTTAGCTATATACCCAACCCTCTTTATTTTTTCTATTACTTATTTTGAGACAGGGTCTCATTAAGTTGCCCAGACTGATCGACAACTTGTGATTCTCCTGCTTCAGCCTCCCCAGTAGCTGAGATTACAAGTGTGTGCCACCATACCTGGCTCTCCTAAACTCTTGAATAAAAAGTCATGCATATTTAACAGAGGAAAGAAAGGAAAGCAAGGGAGAACAGAAGTGGGAGGGGGGAGAGAGAGAGGAAGGAAAGGAGAGAGAGACAGAGACAAAGACAGAGATAGAGACTGAGAGACTGAGACTGACTTAACAGTAGAAAAACCTAGCAAGCATTATCTTAAGTAGTCGATATTAAACAACACCAGTTAAAGTCATGAAGAGGCCCACTGAAGTTGCATAGACCTTCTATGATTCCAGCACTCTAAAGAATAGAGGGAAGAGGAGCATGAATTCCAGGTCAGCCAGGGTTACATCAAGAGACCTCAAAACAACAGTAAAGTCATGTAGATATCATGTGTCCCAGTATGACAAGAAGGGTATATCATCTCCATAATATTCCTTCCCCAATTTGTAACCTCAATGTTTTCATTAGAAAACATCACACAAACACAAACTGGCAGGTATTCTATGAAATATTTGACAAGTACTCCTTACAATGTCAAGGTCACAAAGGACACGGGAAAACTAGAAACTGTCACAGACTGAAGGAGACTAAAGAAAAGTAACAATTTAAGAAAGGGAAGGAGCAAGAGAGGGAAGGTTGAGAGAAGGAAAAACGGAGAAAAGTAGACGTGTAAAAGAACTGTCAGCGGTTCTGGAGGAAGATTTCTGTATCTAAATTCATATTCCCCATTAGCTATTTTCTTGAAACACAGCACAGAATCCCATACCACCCATATCCAGAAAGATAAAGACAGAATTTGACAGGGAAAATACATCTATTCCTATAACTGCAAACTCTAAAACACATATGCAGCCACTCCCTGCCTCTTTCTCTGTAGCTTTTGATTAATGTGTTATGCTATACATGTGATTAATGTATTATGCTACACATATTATCTGCTTTGTCCATACTCATTAATATTTGACCAAGTTATGAACTCTAATGATTCCTTCAATTTTGTTAGTCATACTTTCATCTCAGTGACAGGATACCTCACACAAAAAAATCTTAAAGGAGGGGCTGGAGAGATGGCTCAGCGGTTAAGAACACTGGTTGTTCTTGCAGAAGACCCAGGTTCAGATTCCAGCACCCATGGCAGCTAACAATTGTCTGTACTCCAGTTTCAGGAGATCCGACCACCTCTTCTGACCTCCATGGGCACTGCAGGACACAAGTGCACTTACCTACATGCAGGCAATACATGCATACACAGAAAATAAAAATAAAATATTTTTTTAATCTTAAAGGAGAAAAGATGTATTTTGGCTCACAATTACAGAGACTGCAGCCCAAGGTGGGGTGGAGCCATTGCTGTGGGGCTGAGACCAAGCAGAAAGTCACAGTAGGCAGTGAGAACAGATAGTGGAGACAGCAGCTCACCTCATGATCCAGGAACAGAGGGTAAGACAGGAAAGGGCCCGCGACACCATATCCTGCAAAGGGATATCCCTAAGTGACCTACTTCTCCACACAGGTCTGCTTCCCACCACCAGTAGAGCCATCTGATTATGAATTCATCAATGGATTAATCCATTTATAAACATTGGAGGCTTCAAGATCCAATCACCTCTCAATGACTGTATTCACGATCTGTGGACCAAGACTTCAACACAGGAGCCTTTGAGGGGACCCCTGCCTGTCCCACTCAAACGTTTTATCTTAGATTAATTGTTGCTTGTTTTTT